TGTCCAAAATCCAAGATTATCAGCCGGTTCCCTCGTTGTTTTTTCTACATTTTGCTGTCAAGTTGATCGCTAGCTGGGAAGCGATCTGAGGGAGGCTGTATTCATCTTCGTTTGATAAGTATCTTTTGCATATATATTAAGGTGTATAAGGTACAATATTGTTGGTTGTTTTTTAGTTTGTCATATCCCAGCATTTGTCATCCACATATATCCTTGGGGTTTTTTTGATATGGCTACTAGCATAGATTTCTTGTCTGATATGCAAAAACACCGTTTAAGGAAATTTGAAGCAATTTTCCAAGAACGTGATAAACCCCAACCCCTTAGGGGATTAAATGAATATTTCAAATGTAAAGAAAAATTATTATATGGCGAAACAAAAAAATGGTGGGAAATAGCCTTCCTAGAAAACTATCTGAAGGAAGGACTTATCCCTAGGGGTCTAAGGTTGGATAAAACTCCTGCTTTTGGTCTAGATAGTGAAAATTTTATGAACGAATGGGATGAAATTTTATCAAATTGTTCATTTCAGTTAATGCAACTTATCATTAAATATTCAAAAAATATGAAAGAAAAAATTGAGGAAGAATTGGAATTATTAGATACAGATGTACAGATTGATCTAGGAAGTATTGAGTACAAAGAGAGAGACGATCTGTTACAAAAGAATGTTAAACAACTGGATGAAAAAATTGCTGAGACTAAAAGTAGGAAATATAGAAGGGACAAGGAAGATAAAAATAACAGTACTTTTTCCACCTTAAATAGGATATCGAGAAGAAAACCCCATTTCTATAGAGGTTCTTATTCTAATTCTCATTCCACTCATTCCCCTTATAGGAAAAAAACAATATCATATGATCATGGGAGGAGGAGTAAAGGTGATTCTTATTTAAAGGAGAATACCAAAAGGATTACACGTACTCCTCCAAGAGAACGATTAGAACCCAATAGAAATACACGTCCACTTGAAAAAAGGGGTAATCGCTCCCTTTCAAGAGAACGATTAGTATCTCAAAATGAAAATGCCAATACACGTCCCTTTGAAAGAAGGGGAGTTAGATCCTACGCTCAAGTAGCCAGACAAGATGAACATAATAGTAGATTCAATTCGCAATATAATGAAAAGGAAGAAAATTTTCAGGGGAGAACCCGAGGTCCAAAAGAAAAACCCATAACAAATTATTTTCACCCAAGGACTACTCCTTGGGTACATCAAAATCGGTTCTCTCCTTTACAAATAGATTCTCCAAACAAGAGAACACGAATGGAGGATTAGAGGATTTAGTACAGAATCAAGTTAGTTTGCAGGCAAAAGCAAGAGAGAAAGGTATATTTAATATATCTGGTTTACCCCTGTCGGAAAGTGAGATACAGTTATTATCAAAGGGTATGAAGTTTGCACCCAATAGAACATCAAATGAGTTTAATTTATATATAGATTTAAAAAAATACATTAGGTCATTAACATTAAAGAGACATTTTATGTTACAATCTAGTCAGACAATGACTCCAATTATGAATGAGGAGGAACTAAGAAATCGAAAATTTAGACCTAAATCACATTTTTATCCTACACAAAACAGAGGTCCATATTTAGAGATTTTTGAAAAATTAGTGGATAGGGAGTTTAAAACAGTGATTAATAAACACAATTTGAATAATAGGAATTTAACTAGAGAGGAAGATATATGTCTAAAACAACTTAAGAAAAGAGAGGATATTATAATCAAGGAAGCAGACAAGGGAGGGGGTATAGTAATTATGTCTACTAATTATTATTTAAAGGAAGCATCAAATATCCTAAGTGATGATGAAACTTACATTATATTAACAAGGGATCCAACTAGGGAATTCAATTTGGCTCTAAAGAATTTATTAGAGGAAGCGAGATCTAATGATACAATTTCACAAGCAAATTATGATTTTTTATTCAGCAGTAATCCGAGAATTCCAATTTTTTATTTTATTCCTAAAATTCACAAACGTTTATTCAATCCCCCAGGACGTCCTATAATCAGTGGAGTAGATTCCTTGTCCGCCAACCTCTCAGCTTTTGTAGATTCATACCTACAGAAGTATGCTCAGGGATCCCTATCTTATATCAAAGACACAAAATCATTCCTACAAGAATTGGAAAATATTGAATGGCATTCTAGTTATAGTTGGGCCACATTGGATGTGTCATCCCTTTATACTATAATCAGCCATAAATTGGGATTGGAAGCAATTAATCACTTTATGACTGAAGACCAACATTTACCTCAGGATATCAAAGAGTTTATCTTACATTCAGTTAAATTTATTTTAGAACATAATTATTTTTTCTTTAATGATAAATTTTATTTACAAATCACGGGGACCGCCATGGGCACCAGGGTCGCCCCCAGTTATGCCAATACCTATATGCGGAGATGGGAGGATCTTACCATTTGGGCTGGTCATGACTGGAGGGAGAACCTGGTGCTCTGGCGGAGATATATCGATGACGTTATTATTATTTGGAAGGGGTCATTTTCTACTTTTCAATGTTTTGAAAACTATTTAAATCAGAATAAATATAATTTAAAATTCACTTCTGTATGGCATCAGAATGAAATCAGTTTTTTGGATCTGTCCTTAATATGTGATAATGATTCCATAAAAACTAAGTGTTTCTTCAAACCCAGTGATGGCAATGGATATGTTCATCAGCAGAGCTGCCATCACCGCCCTTGGCTTAGAGGAATAGCCAAGGGCCAATTCGCTAGGGTGAGAAGGAATTGCTCTCAAGTCAATGATTTTATTACACAATCTGGCCACATTAGGGATAAATTGATTGAAAGAGGCTATAAAAAGAATACATTGGATAGGGAAATCCGTATGGCTTTACAATCCGACAGGGGTAATTACCTTATGGACAAACCTAGTGTTAAATCTCATCAGGATAATACAATTACTTTTAGAACTCAATACTGTACCAATCATGTTAAAATTAGGAGAAGTTTACAAAAACATTGGTCGATTCTCCAACAGGATCCTGTATTGAATTCTGTTTTACCAGATCGGCCTAAACTTATTTTTAGAAAAAACCAAAATTTTAAAAATATTTTGGCACCCAGTTATGCCTTAAAACATCATGAGGACAGTCATAAGTCAATGGGTAATAATTCTTTTAGGGGTTGTAATTCTTGCAAAGCTTGTCACACTGTTAATTTAGAACGTACGGATAAATTCTCTAGTTTTACAACAGGGAAGGTTTTCCACATTAAGACCGAGATACATTGCCGCACGGATTATGTAGTTTATTTACTGCAGTGTCCGTGCGGCAAACAATATGTTGGCAGAACAAAGAGATTTTTAAAAGTTCGGTTTATGGAACATATCAATAATATCAAAAAGAACTTGGCCACCCACTCTATCCCAGTTCACTGTAATCATTGTTCACTATTTTCTTTTACAAAATTTAAGTGCATTGGTATTGAGAGGGTAACAACAGATTGGAGAGGGGGTGATAGAGTTAAAAAATTATCACAACGTGAAACCTACTGGATCCATAAATTACAGACATTGGAACCAGGAGGTTTAAATGTTGAAGTGGATTTAGTGTGTTTTTTATGATTGCAATTCACTATTTAGTATTAAACAAAAAGATTCACTATTTAGTATTAAACCAAGTAATACATTACATTTATGTATATATAAAAGGTGAGAGGAGAGAAAGGAAGAATGAGGAAAGAAAGGGAGAGAAAAAAAAAAAAAAATTTTTAAGGATAATAAATAATGATTGACACAAAAAGTAGCACATTGATGAATTTATTGGCATTTATTACAAATTTACTGATGAATATAAATCACATTTTCATAAAAATATGGGATTAATTGATATTATTAAATCACATTCATGTGGTATATTAGAGTGGATTATGTTTAGTTATTGAATTTATATGGTGAATAGCATAGTATTTCTTGTATGAATTATAAGATTAATACACTAATAGTGACTTTTGATTGGAAGAGTGGAAGTATTTACATGTATTTTATGGCCAGATATTGCAGATTATAAATGGAACGCAAAACAACGAGTTTGGAACGCATATTACTTCCGGTTCCGTCAACGTGGTTGGAACGCATGCCACTTCCGGTTTAGTGAACGCAGTTGGAACGCACGGCACTTCTGTGCCGGCAGCTGTCGGAGGATCATTGAACAATTCCGAAATCAGCTGTGAACACTTGGAGCCGCGATTGGCAACAGATGAACCCTATTAATGGAGGACCAATGAGGAGAGTCTGAGGATAACATGTGACTGAATTTAGATGAGGGATTAGCCCTATTTAAAGGACTTTTCGGGTGGGGATTTGTTAGGCTGGTTTTTGATTGTACTGTATCGAATTGTTTCTTAATATTGTGGTCCCTGAGGAAGTCCCTATTTTGTTAAAGGGACGAAACGCGTAGGACCTTATTTATATTTATTTTATTCTTTTTTAAACTTATTTTAATATTGAATTAAAGCCAATTTTTCAAACTTCACCCGGAGTCCTGTGTTGGAGTGAAAATATCCAGGGGATTTCCCTAGCCCCCCCTACTATCGGGGAAGGCACCTTACAAGCTTCAATTTGTCCAAAATCCAAGATTATCAGCCGGTTCCCTCGTTGTTTTTTCTACATTTTGCTGTCAAGTTGATCGCTAGCTGGGAAGCGATCTGAGGGAGGCTGTATTCATCTTCGTTTGATAAGTATCTTTTGCATATATATTAAGGTGTATAAGGTACAATATTGTTGGTTGTTTTTAGTAACAGCCACGTCCTGGAAGGTAACACGGGCAGGTCCTGAAGGTAGCACACGGCCAGGTCCTGGAAGGTAAGTAACACGGTGGTCCTGGAAGATAACACAGCAGGTCCTGGAAGGCCAGTAACACAGCAAGGTCCTGGAAGGTAAGTAACACGCCAGGTCCTGGAAGGCAAGAAAGTTGCAGCCAGGTCCCGGAAGGCCAGTAACACAGCAAGGTCCCGGGTCAGGTCCTGGAAGGTAAGTAACACGGCCAGGTCCTGGAAGGCCACACAGCCAGGTCCTGGAAGGTAAGTAACAGCCAGGTCCTGGAAGGTAAGTAACAGCCAGGTCCTGGAAGGTAACACGGCCAGGTCCTGGAAGGTAAGTAACACGGCCAGGTCCTGAAAGGTAACACAGCCAGGTCCTGGAAGGCCAGTAACACAGCAAGGTCCTGGAAGGTAAGTAACACGGCCAGGTCCTGGAAGGCAAGTAACACAGCCAGGTCCTGGAAGGTAAGTAACAGCCAGGTCCTGGAAGGCAAGTAACACAGCCAGGTCCTGGAAGGTAACACGGCCAGGTCCTGGAAGGCAAGTAACACAGCCAGGTCCTGGAAGGTAAGTAACAGCCAGGTCCTGGAAGGTAAGTAACAGCCACGTCCTGGAAGGTAACACGGCCAGGTCCTGGAAGGTAAGTAACACGGCCAGGTCCTGGAAGATAACACAGCCAGGTCCTGGAAGGCCAGTAACACAGCAAGGTCCTGGAAGGTAAGTAACACGGCCAGGTCCTGGAAGGCAAGTAACACAGCCAGGTCCTGGAAGGTAAGTAACAGCCAGGTCCTGGAAGGCAAGTAACACAGCCAGGTCCTGGAAGGTAACACGGCCAGGTCCTGGAAGGCAAGTAACACAGCCAGGTCCTGGAAGGCCAGTAACACAGCAAGGTCCTGGAAGGTAAGTAACACGGCCAGGTCCTGGAAGGTAAGTAACACGGCCAGGTCCTGGAAGGCCAGTAACACAGCAAGGTCCTGGAAGGTAAGTAACACGGCCAGGTCCTGGAAGGTAAGTAACAGCCAGGTCCTGGAAGGTAAGTAACACGGCCAGGTCCTGGAAGGTAAGTAACACGGCCAGGTCCTGGAAGGTTAGTAACACTGCCAGGTCATGGAAGGTAAGTAACACGGCCAGGTCCTGGAAGGTAAGTAACACAGCCAGGTCCTGGAAGGTAACTAACACGGCCAGGTCCTGGAAGGTAAGTAACAAGACCAGGTCCTGGAAGGTAACTAACACAGCCAGGTCCTGGAAGGTAAGTAACAAGTGACCGTATCGCTGCTTACACTGTGACTGTATTGCCTAAACACTGCTTACACTGTGACTATCACCTAAACACTGCTTACACTGTGACCGTATTGCCTAAACACTGCTTACACTGTGACTATCATCTAAACACTGCTTACACTGTGACTGTATTGCCTAAACACTGCTTACACTGTGACAATCACCTAAACACTGCTTACACTGTGACTGTATTGCCTAAACACTGCTTACACTGTGTCTATGGTGAAAGGGACCATCAGATCTCCCTACCCCCATACTGCGTACGCGCGATGTCCGTGCGCGAGGCTGTCCTGCCTTGGTAGGCGCGTGCGCAGTGTGGGTCAGGAAGATCAGATGAATGCTCCATCTGAGCTCTCCCTGCCCGCTGGTGCGCATGCGCGGTGTCCGATGGGAGTACTTAGTGGCTCCTGGCGCAGGCGCAGTGTGTCCCGGTCGCGCACGCGCATTAGGCAGCCTTTTCTCCCCATACTGTGAATAAAACCTTCGCCTATGGGAGTACTTAGCCGCACGTGCACACTGGCCCTACCGCACCCCCCCTTGTGGCTCCTGGCGCAGTGTGTCCCGGTGTGCAGCTGATGGCTGTCGCGCACGCGCATTAGGTGACCTCTTCTCCCGTACTGTGGATGAAAATTTCACCTAACTGTCCTTCTGCGCCTGCGCTCCTCCTCCTCCAGCTGTGAAACGTCATTTCCGGTGCGGCCGCATCACAGGAAGTGACACGGGTATAGCATTCTGACAGAACACCGGATCTGTCACTCATACCCCTCTCCATGACAACTGAGCAGGGATACAGCAGGCGCAGAGGGACAAACTTCGTCAGATCCCGCGTTCTGTTAGATTCCGTTATTTTCAGATTGTTTCACAGGCTCCACCCTCGCTCTTTCCAACACAGGATGCTACTGCCTGCCCAGTACAGTCCTAGGACCGCCTCCACCGGCCCTGCCCACAACATCTTAACCCCGCCCACAGAACGCTGTCACTCATATTCGTTCCCCTGGCCACCATGCAGGGATACAGAGAGCGCGGAGGGACAAACTGCCTAAACACTTTGTCTTTCGCTTATGTCACTTGTAACCATGGCAACCAAGCTGGGCTAGAGCTAGCGCGGACAGACCATCTTTTTAACACTGGGCGTCACTCAATCTGGTAACTATGGTAACACAGCCGACCTACAGTAGGTGCAGAGGGAAAATCCTCCTCAACACTCGGTTTGGCTTTTATACATCCTGGTCAGATCAGAGGTGGCTCTCTGTAGGTTGGTGTTAGGCGGCTGATTACGGTAACTCTCCTTGGGGCAGAGAGCCCGGCACTGGGAGAGGCAGTCTGCCAAGGGGAGAGAGCCCAGCGCCGCGCGGTGCAGAGCTGCAGATCACATGACAGAGGTCTCCCGAGCTCGGCCAATCAGAGAGCTGCCACTAGTTACCATGTTAACGCTCTGACGCTCTGCACCCCGCGGAGCTAGCCCATCTGACCACTAGGGAACAGCAGAAAATAAAGGTATTTCAATGTGGGAAAGCGTGTCACTAAAACACAGCCTCCTCCTACTGTGACCCTATACATTGCCCCCTACTGTCACCCTCACACACACTGACCCATACACTGTCACCCTGTACATTGCACCCACACTGTCACCCTCCCACATACTGTCACCCTATACATTGCCCCCCTACTGTCACCCTCCCACACACTGTCACCCTGTACATTGCACCCACACTGTCACCCTCCCACACACTTACCCCAACACTGTCACCCTCCCACACACTGATCCCCACACTGTCACCATATACATTGCCCCCTGCTGTCACCCTCCCACACACTGACTCCCACAATGTCACCCTATACATTGCCCCCACACTGTCACCCTCCCACAAACTGACTCCCACACTGTCACTCTATACATTGCCCCCTACTGTCACCCTCCCACAGAGGTCAACCTATACATTGCACCCACACTGTCACACCCGCACTCTGCCCCTCACACTGTCACATCCCCCCCACACACTGTCACCCTCCCACACACTGCCTCCCACAATGTAACCCCCACACACACTGACCTCCACACTGTCACCCCCCCACACACTGTCACCCTATACACTGCCCTCCTACTGTCACCCTCCTACACAATGTCACCCCCCACAATGTCACACCCCCCACACACACTGTCACCCTCCCACACACTTCCCCCTCAATGTCACACCCCCCACACTTGCATACACATTGTAGCCCTTGCCCTCAGCGCTCCCCACACTGCCTTCACACACATATTGTCACCTCCCCACACACTGTCAGTCTGTCAGCATTACACACACTGCCCTACAAATTGTCACCCTCCCACACTGTCATCCCCACATGCTGTCACCCTCCCACACTCACATTAACCCCTATTGAAGTGGTCACTCTCACCCCTCCAACCATACCACACTTACCTGCCCTTGCTCTGCCACCCCCCCACACTTGCACACACATTGTAGCCTTTGCCCTCAGCGCTCCCCACACTGCCTTCACACACATATTGTCACCTCACCACACACTGCCAGTCTGTCAGCACCACACACACTTCCCTACAAATTGTCACCCTCCCACACTCTCATCCCCACATGCTGTCACCCTCCCACACTCACATTAACTCCTCCTAAAGCGGTCACTCTCACCCCTCCAAGCATACCACACTTACCTGCCCTCGCTCTGCCACACTCACCCTATCACATTAACCCCTCCTAATCCTGTAACACTCATTTTCTCTCGCACTTTCACACTCACCCTCAGTCTGGTCACACTCATCCTCTATCACTATGTCACACTCCTTCTCCTTTATCCTGCTTCACAGGGTGACTATCACATTAATCCCTCCAAGGCTGTCACTCATCCTCTCAAACCATGCCACACTCGCCCTGTCACTTGAACCCCCTAACCCCGTCACACTCACCTCCTTTGTATGTCACATTGATCTCCCAGCCCCTCCGTGTGTCTCTTTGCCCTCAACCCCTCTCTGTGTGTCTCTTTGCCCCCAGCCTCTCTGTGTGTCTCTTTTCCCCCCAGCCCCTCTGTGTGTCTCTTTATCCCCTCCATTTAAAATTCAAAGTTGGAGCAGGAGTGTTAGTCGACCATCTTACCTTCAGGGATTAGGCTGTGTAAATAAGGTGATTTATAAGTGTTGATTTAGTCCTGTAATAGATGCTTTTATTAAACAGGAGGAAAATAAATTAGGCGCTTTTGGTACCTAAATTATCTGTTTAACCATCTCTTCTTCCTCATTACACAGTTTTATAATTCTCCATGGTGTGAAGCCCCCACCATTAAAGTGTTGGACACTAGTTTCTTATACATGATTGATTGAGAAACTTTTAGAGTGCACCTAACAATATCCATCTTGCCAGAAACAAAAAAATATAATTCATTGTTTATTTATTGTGTTTTCAATATATTTATTCCAGTAAAATACAAATATCAATAAAAAAAATCTCAGTACCTGCACATACCAGTACCTGCACTAATTGTTTCAACAACTTTATATATTAGCTAAAACTTGTTAAAATGTGCTTAGAGTGCTTATGCATAAACATTTTATATATAATAGGCATATTAAATTACTGAGCTTTAAATAGCTTACATTCAGAGATTATTCATTAAATAGTGCATTGATAAGCAGATTGCAAAATGTAGGCCCATTATCTAAACTGGAAGTATTACTAATTTCAGCTATTTTTCAAACAGTTCTAAAGTTTGCTGTTCAGCTGTTATTTCACCACTATTTAAGTCACAGATCATTCTGTTAAGTGCTACATTGCAGTAAATATATTATTGCATTTTTTTTTTCAAAGTCAGAAATAAGGGACATGCCCTAACCAATCAGATAATTAAATAATAAAATAACTTAAAGGATTACTTTAACCACCATGACCACGTCAGTAGTTTGAAGTGGTCATGCTGGTGGGAGTCTGTATGTGCAACGTTTCTGGTTGAAACATTGCACATACACGGAAGCCTGCACTTTTGTGTCGGGCCAGTTACACCCTTGGCACACGTGACTTCAGCAGCCAGGACTGCCAAATGTCAGTTCTGTGCATAAAAAAAAAACATTCATCGTCAGGGCACACAGCATGCTGGCAATGGACATGTTAAGCTTTTCTCTTGAGGGCTCCCGCCTCCCAACAAACTCCATAATTCCTTTTCTATTTTTTTTTTATTATTACATTTTCCACCACGCTTTCTATCCAATCTCCCTCCCCTCGCCAGCTTAGATTGTGCACATGAGCCAGCAAAACGGTCCAATGAGAAGTCTGTGATTGGACCGTGCTCTTTGCCCAAAGCTGTATTCCAGGTGAGTAAAAAAACTTTCTTTTTTTTTTTTTGGTTTTATTGCAAACCCTTTAATGGGTTACTCCAACTGGAAACCAGTGTTTGTTTGTTTTTTTTTGTTTTTTTTATTAAACACTGGTTTTAGTTGTAGTAATTATTTCTGTGGTGGTCCTCTGCCACCACCAAACGGCAAAACAAAATGCTTTAACTTATTTTAATGCTGAGGCCAAGTTCTCCCTCAGCACAATCTTTGTCTGCTGACATCATTCCCTGTCACAGAAGGGGGAGAAAAGTCAGAGAGGATGGTCGAGGGTAGGACAGGAGCGGCACAGCCACCACTGGAACTTTGTCGACAACATTCTGTGTGTGTTTGCGTCAGAAATCAATTTTACACAGAATTGATATTAACCAGCCTGGAACTGTGTAATGACACTGCCAGAGTTGGTTACACCTCTGACAGCTAAGAGTTCATCTCTGTATGATGCTGCACATACAGACTGCAGGCACCTTGACCACCTCAAATCACTGAAGTGGTTATGGTACTTGGAGTAACCTGTTAATATTAAAGTTAACAATGGGCTGAAAAATGGTGGCATGAATCAGGATAATGACAGAACTGGCTTTTGGTATGGAGTGAGCTGAAACATGATTCCGGATAATACGGATATATACACAAACTGGAAAAATTCACCAAGTCACCATTGTTTTCCGTTCAAATATTTTAGCCTAAAATGTAAAATTAATTTTGAATTTTCTTTAGATTCCTGACAATTCTCACTTTAGTGGAAAACCCTATAAAGTATCTGTGCTCAAGATTGCTGGGCACATAATGAGGCCATAAAACATTACTCGAGAGACAGAGGAAGGGCTATTTTGACCTTACATTTAAAATTCAGTTTGAAGTCCCGGCAATTCTGGATGGTGAGGAAAGGGTTAAAACTTACCTTTTTCCCAGCGCCGGGCGGGGAGCTCTCCGCCTCCGATCCTCCTCTTCGGCTGAATGCGCATGCGCGGCAGGAGCAGCGCGCGCATTCAGCCAGTCTCATAGGAAAGCATTCATAATGCTTTCCTATGGACGCTGGCGTCTTCTCACTGTGATTTTCACAGTGAGAAGCACGCAAACGCCTCTAGCGGCTGTCAATGAGACAGCCACTAGAGGCTTTAGAGGCTGGATTAACCTGTTTATAAAAAAAAAGGGTTAATCCTAGAGGGACCTGGCACCCAGACCACTTCATTAAGCTGAAGTGGTCTGGGTGCCTAGAGTGGTCCTTTAAGGGTTAACAAGTGTGTAAAAATACATAAAATATCCCTATCTGTCTCATTAGAGATTTTACCTTTTGGCTTTAACCCCTTAAGGACCAAACTTCTGGAATAAAAGGGAATCATGACATGTCACACATGTCATGTGTCCTTAAGGGGTTAAAGCATTAAAGTAATTTGTTAATGTAGGAATCACCCAAGAGGTGAGCTTACACTTTAATGGCCATTGGAGTGATACTAAAAATCTCTTGCTATTTAAATGTGCGCAGGGATTTGGAATAGAGCAACAATAACTCTTTTTGCTTTTATTCTATTCATTTGGGCTGATGGATATAGTAGCTATTGCTGCCGCCCAGGAGTAGTAGGAGTTTGAATGTATAGCTTAATTTGAGTATTAGTACAAAGTCTTTTTAACCTGTCAGGATTCTTATCTTTGGTGATCCTATAAAGATTATAAATACATATTCTGATTGTTTTGAACTGCCATCAATATTTCATGTAACGTTCCAATTGACTCTATCATGACATGTATCACCCTGCTTCTTTAGTTGAACATCTGAATGATACAATAAGTATTAACCAAAAAGTGAGATACAGTTTGTGATAAAAGTATTTGAATCTCTACTGATTTTGAGCGTTTGCCCACTGACAAAGAAATGATCGGTCTATAATTTTAATGGTAGGTGTATTTTAACAGTGAGTGACGGAATAACAGAAAAAAAGAAAATCCAGAAAAACGCATGTCAAAAAAGTTATACATTGATTTGCATGTCAATTAGTGAAATAAGTATTTGACCCCTTCAACTTAGTACTTGGTGGCAAAACCTTTGTTGGCAATCACAGGTTTTGCCATCAAGTACTAAGTCGAAGGGGTCAAAGTTTCTTGTAGTTGGCCATCAGGTTTGCACACATCTCAGGAGGGATTTTGTCCCACTCCTCTTTGCAGATCCTCTCCAAGTCATTAAGGTTTCGAGGCTGACGTTGGGCAACTCGAACCTTTAGCTCCCTTCACAGATTTTCTATGGGGTTAAAATCTGGAGACTGGCTAGGCCACTCCAGGACCTTAATGTGCTTCTTCTTGAGCCACTCCATTGTTGCCTTGGCTGTGTGTTTTGGGTCTTTGTCATGCTGGAATACCCATCCACGACTTATTTTCAATTCCCTGGCTGAGGGAAGTAGGTTCTCATCCAAGATTTGATGGTACATGGCCCCGTCCATCGTCCCTTTGATACGGTGCAATTGTCCTGTTCTCTTAGCAGAAAAATACCCCCAAAGCAAAATGTTTCCACCTCCATGTTTGACGGTGGGGATGGTGTACTTGGGGTCATAGGCAGAATTCCTCCTCCTCCTCCAAACACGGCGAGTTGAGTTGATGCCAAAGAGCTCGAGTTTGGTCTCATCTGACCACAGCACTTTCACCCAGTTCTCCTTTGAATCATTCAGATGTTCATTGGCAAACTTCAGACAGGCCTGTACATGTGCTTTCTTGAGCAGGTGGACCTTGCAGGCACTGAAGGATTTCAGTCCTTCACGGTGTAAAGTGTTACCAATTGTTTTCTTGGTGACTATGGTCCCAGCTGCCTTGAGATCATTAACAAGATCCCCCCGTGTAGTTCTGGGCTGATTCCTCACTGTTCACCTGAACACTGAAACTCCACAAGGTGAGATTTTGCATGGCGCACCAGACCGAGGGAATAATCACACCAACTGTTTTCACCTTCTCACCAAGCTGCTTAGCGATGGTCTTGCAGCCCATTCCAGCCTTGTTTAGGTCTACAATCCTGTCCCTGACATCCTTGGACAGCTCGTTGGTCTTGGCCATGGTGGAGAGTTTGGAATCTGATTGATTGATTTCTTCTGTGGACAGATGTCTTTTATACAGGTAACAAGCTGAGATTAGGAGCACTCCCTCTAGGAGAGTGCTCCTAATCTCATCTTGTTACATGTATAAAAGACACCTGGGAGCCAGAAATCTTGCTGATTGATAGGGCATCAAATACTTATTTCACTCATTGACATGCAAATCAATTTATAACTTATTTGACATGCATTTTTCTGGATTTTATTTTTTATTATTCTGTCTCTCACTGTTGAAATACACCTACCATTAAAATTATAGATTGATCATATCTTTGTCAGTGGACATACGTTCAAAATCAGCAGAGGATCAAATCCTTTTTTTCCCTCACTGTAGATATACAGTGTTACTTCTTCCTAAAATGATAAATGCGTATATATAAAGCTATTTGTGAAGGTTAACCTAGGACATTATATTTTTGCCCCCACTAACCCCCTTGATTAATGGTTTTACTGTTAGAATATAGATTATTGCCACACCTGGGCTCCAGAGGAAAAGTAGGGCTTGGTTACTGTACTGTATTGTAGACTTCTAAGCAAACCCAATCACTTGCACATTTAACATCTCAATGGTGGGTAGAAACGTAACATATTGTTACTTTCATTATTTGTGATAGAGACATCATCTGTCACAGCTTATTCATGACATTGATGATATTATGTACAAGTTAAATATTTGTCATACAAACACTATTAATCCTACTAAGCGTTTAACTTTTAGATCCTATTCCAGCCACATAGTCATAAATAAGAAAACTAGTTGGTCATTTTTGTTTCTTTTCTCTATTTTGAATAGTAAGTAGAGCAATCAGCGGTGATGAATGACATTCTCCTCATGAACCTGTGGAAAAGAATAAATTAGAACGTTATTCAATAACTCAATTATTATTCTTGAAAACTAAAACGCATCTACTTTCTCAACACAGAGGCTGCCATGAAAAAAATTTACCTCTTAAACCCTCATGTTGAAATCATGACTTCAGAAAGTATTCAAAATTACAAAAATAAAATAAAAAAATGATGCACTAAAAGTAGGTTGTGGCTTTCTTTGTTAAAATTATCAATTGCCATTACATGTCTGGCGCACCTGTCATGTTATTATTATTTATAAAACACTATCAAATTCTGCAGCGCTGTACAATAGGTGGACTACAACAAGACAAGTTGGACGGACAGGAATAGAGTGTAGAGAGCTTACATTCTAGAGGGAGTGAGGTAAAGTGGCACAAGAGGTAAGGCTGGGATGTACTTCGTGTATGGAAAAAGTAGGTCGCAAGAAGAGTTTACAGTGAAGGCTTAGTTTTGTAGATGACGACACCGTTGCAGGAGAGGAGGCTGGTTAGTGAGGTGTGGGGAGAGAAAGCAGTTAACGGTTTAATAAGCTTTCTTGAAGTTTGCAGTGAAGATTTATTGGAGCAGTTTTAAAGAAATGGTGCAGCCCTAGAGAAGGTTTAAAGAGTATGAACAGAGGACATTGAAGGTCTTCAGCAGAGTTTGATGGCCTGGATGGGACATACTTGTGTTTTAGTGAGGGTAGGTAGACAGGAGCAGTATTAGGAAGAGATTTCTAAGCAAGGAACAGACTTTTAAATTGATGCCTATATCTTACAAGAAGCCAATGCAATAACTGATAGGAGGACAGAAAGAGGAGCCTTGCCGCAGCATTCATTATAGTCTGTAGCAAGACATGCCGTCATAGTCAGGGCCGGCCATGTAAATTAACTGGATCCCCATGGTTCTGTATGCTCAGGTATGACGCTTTACAAGGAAATGTTTGAGCATTCATTGACATGTTTAGAATTTCTTTGCAGATACCTTGCAGAACTGAGGGGCAACGGCATTACTGCACTCCTCATTCAGTTCGCATTTCAATAGCAATTACTGGGGTGGGAGAATCAGGACTCAGCTTCCTAACACTTTCAATGAAGGGGACAAGGTGGGACAGCCTGCAAACATGCAAACTGAGGACTCGGGAATCATACAGAAGGAAGGGGAGTCTGTGATCATGCACAATGAGGGGGAGACTGCAATCGTACAATAAGAGCAGCGAGTTTCTATGCAACATTTGTACATTTATCTGCACACACTTACATTTTGATTGCTTTGAGCTTCAGTAATTCTTGTTTGTGGAAGAGCAAAATCTGTGAAAGGTAAAATCAACAATTATAGCAGTTGCAGAATTGAATAAAATATGATATAATTTCTAAATGAGCAATTTGGTCACTAGTGCTAATGATTAGACAGGAGGGAACATATGTCATAACATATCTGAACAAAAGAGTAAGGCGATTGTTTGCTTGATTTTTTTGGGGGGGGGGGGTTTAAGTAACTAATGGTTATATTTTAAAAGAATATATTTTTTGTGTTAATCACAGAAAAAGTATATAAAATGAACAGTATGGATGAGCTCACATAATCTTTATTACCAAGCCTTTTGGCCTGTAAGCCCCTCAGAAACATTTCACAAGGATCACAGAAAACACATTAGATCACTAGGCCCAAAAAATGTTTCATGCACAACCTATATAGAATCATGCCCAGAAAGAATGGCACTGGGAAGCAGGCTGATAGACTTTCAGACTTGGCGCCACGCAAGATTGTAATTAAGTCATATGCAGCTGCAAGTCGCACAAGTGAGGTCATTTAAATTTTTAACACAGGTCAGACGTACCTTGCTCCTGATTGGGAAAACACCAACAAAGCCCAGGTCTACAGATTTAGGGTTAAACACTAAATAATGCAATGAAGCGATCAGAATCTGAATTGCAAAATGTTGGCCACAATAATTGATTTGGCTATTGGAGCATTAATTCAGCATTTTTCATTTCACTGCAGTTCATTCTTTGGTGAGAAACCCACAGTGTCTGGCCACCAACTATCCGATCCAAAGATCAACGAGTTAACAATCACGCTATACTCTGCACAGTTCCGGCAGTATTGTATGGCACAGAGGATCGCTGAAGAGTGCTTACATCTAAAAGCAGTTCTTTTCAGACACATGGGGATTACATTACTGGCTGCTTACTAAGCACTTCTAAATATCTGCTAAGTGCCTCTTATTTGAGTAGTAAATTCGACCCCTTGCACTTTGTGAAACCTACTTCTGTACAAATTTTTGCCAACTTTTCAATTTCCAGATCTTATTTGTGTCTGCAGTGAAGACATGCTTAGCTTATTTCCCACGCATTATGAACACCCAGTCCACTTACTGTCAGATTAATCCGTAATATTGTCTTTTACTGTAACAGCAATGTGTCGGACATGTAGGTGTTGCATTGAGTGCCACTGATAATTTGGTGGGGGCAATGCAATAACAAAGAGAGCGCAAGTTGGCTTGAAGCTTGCATGTGTACCAGACTGATTGCCAGCTGTACTGGCCAGCCTACCCTAAGGGTTGACCATGTACAGAGTGATCCTGAAGTGGTTATAATACATTGAATACATTTCGTGAAATTAATTCAAAATATTTGAACCATATGGGAGCACTTCAGTGCAATTGCATCTTCATTCTCCTAGTTATGCCTTTTTCGCCACATCATGCCACTTGTGAGCTCCCTATGACAGTGCCTGTAGTATTTGTGTCTAGTGACTACTTTACCCTCCTACTTCCATCATGCACGAACAATAGTGTCAAGCAATCGTTTTCTTTTATTTAAATTGTTAAAAATGTATAATTTGTGAAGAAATATGAACACATTTAATAACAGAGAGGGTCTGCTATTACAATGGGTTGAATTGTGGTATCCATATCTTTTAGGACTTTCTCAAAGTGACCTCCGTTTATTATCATATATTATATAAATATTATTTATATCCTCCAACATCCCTTTGCTATGAACATAGAAGGTAAATAACCATTACTTACAGATAATAACGAGCAGGAGCAAAGCTATCAGCAGACCAGCGTGTCCTGCCATCAAAAACCTACAAATAACAAACATAATAATGAATAACGTGTAAAAAAAGAACTTTTAAAGTCAAATTTAAAGCCCTCGTCTGTCCCTGTCACTTGTGTAGTTGGTGGTGGATGTATATGTCTGCGGTTGAAATTCCCCTTCCCACCACCACTTCAAATGTGGTTCTCATGACAACCGACTATTGCTGAACCGTTTCTGGAACTATGTCAGGTATCTGATCATTGTGGTACCATTCCACACGTGGATAGCTGTGGTCTGGGTATAAGCTGATCATGGAAAATATGAAGTATATCAAAAAGATAATTTGTATTCTCACCTATATATATATATATCTGACCCTGGCTATCTGGGGCTGACTAGCTGGATACTGAATACATACCTCCCAACGCCGGTGTCTCGAGAATGGGATGCGGTGGGAGGAGGTAAAAGGGGACGTGCCAGTGATGTGATTTGCCCTATAGGAGGCAAATCCGCCCATAAATTACTGGCAGATCAGCCCTACGTGAATGCACTCCAAGCTGCCTGCCAAGCGTGCAGACCTTGTAAGGAACCCTGTTTCAGTGCAGGGTCCTAGTTCCTTGAACATAGTGTAAGCGCATTTAATGATATGCTCACACAATGCGTGTTCTGGAGAGTACCCTGGTGTCCCCAAAAGCTGCCATGATAATCTGGACTGTGTCAGCGAAATTGGGACAGTTGGGAGACTTGCTGAATATAACTATATTATCTAAGGATTTTTGTGTCCCGATATCAGCAATAGAAAGGGGATTCTTTGATTTTGCAGGTGAATCCATACTCCTCCTTTCTCTCGATATTGAATGACACAGGGATGTACTTAGTGGAGACACCGAAGTCATAGTTTCCCTGGGTCACAGGAATATCTTGGGCCAAGTTCTAGGTGACCTTTACCGTGCACACAGCAATATGAGGAAGAACAAGGAAAACAACGCTGCTTTTCCGATCCAAGTTTTCTGTTTATCAGATTCTGAAACAAGAGGGGAAAAGTAAGCTGCCATTATGTTTATAGAAGAAAATCTCCTGGATTTAAACTGTTACATGGTTATCCACTAAAGGGTGAATTCAAAGTTCAGTTTGAATTGTCACTGTAGGGGGCACACACTTTTTTTTTTTTATAATAAATGCTATTAATAATCTATGTCAAAAAACGCAAATATGTTATCAGGATAATTAACAGGTTTTCATTTAATTAGTGTGTCTTCTGTTTTAGTTTTCAGGTTTTAGTGTGTTTTTTAGGGTCCTGTCCCTAAAAGTTCCACAGGTGGGGGATCTAAAAACATGGAGGTACATACTAAAGCCCCTTCTCTATTATTAGGGTGAGGAGGATAGTTAAGGATTTTCTTTATTGGGGGTGGACGATCGCTAGGGGTGTGGGGAACATTGTATGTTATTTATGCAGACTGATTTCTAACCACATTTATTGTAGTTTAAAGACACATTACTGGGAGTATTATTGCTGGGGAGCTCTGTTATACACTCAGTCACATTACTGGGAGTATTATTGCTGCGGAGCTCTGTTATACACTCAGACACATTACTGGGAGTATTACTGCTGTGGAGCTCTGTTATACACTCAGACACATTACTGGGAGTATTATTGCTGCGGGGCTCTGTTATACACTCAGACACATTACTGGGAGTATTATTGCTGCGGAGCTCTGTTATACACTCAGACACATTACTGGGAGTATTACTGCTGTGGAGCTCTGTTATACACTCAGACACATTACTGGGAGTATTATTGCTGCGGAGCTCCGTTATACACTCAGACACATTACTGGGAGTATTATTACTGTGGAGCTCTGTTATACACTCAGACACATTACTGGGAGTATTATTACTGTGGAGCTCTGTTATACGCCCAGACACTCCAACAATATGGAGTTCGTAGAAAAGAGGGACATTGGGATAGAAATGAGGGACAGAGGGAATTGGGCTTAAAACTGGGTCTTTCCTTCCTTACTAAGTACACTTAGGCGGTATCAGTCTGGGTTTCAGATCCTCAACGCCCCTTGTGTTCCTACCATTGTTAATGCTCAGGAATTCTTCAGATGAAAAATGTGACAGGGAGTCTTGTGTTTCATCAGCAGTGACCGAATCTTCCATGGGATCGAGTAAAACCCCGAGAGGATACGACTTTACCGGCATCATTTCTGTTAAAAAATAAACAAAAATGTTTAACATAGGTAAATTCAAACATGGGTAATGCTGGATAATAAAGTTCTCATTTTATTTAGGAAGTGTTAAACAGGGGAGACTGCAGCAAAATGATTCTCATTTAAACATGCTCTGAGCAACATGAATACAATACAGCTACTAAATGACACACAGGACAAATGATCAGTAGTGGATATTGCAGATTAACTTAACAGCAGAAAGTCAGGTCATTAATGGGAACTTTAAAGGGACAATCTAAAAAACAAAAAAACATTATTTCTATATTGCCAACATATTATTGTAAACTAAACTACTAAATGGAGATAGTGACTGTGAGCCCAGAGCTCAGAGCCGATCGTACTGTAACGCTAGATAGCTTTGTGCAGATAATGCGAACACAAAACGTCTTCATTATTTGAGCTGTAGGAGATGGGTCGGGCTTTGAATGCCAGGAAGACACCTTTTTTGTGAAAGCTCTCAAAAATAGTTTAATAGAAAACAGGGGGAGAACCCAATTATTCCTTGTACCTAACTATTATAATGAGTCGTAGTGGCTGTAGTACTGAGAATATCCATTTAAACTGGTGGACAGTAGATAATAACAAGAATGATGGGTTTTGTAATTTGAATGTTATATTAAAGGAACACACATTATTATGACTACCGCAGCTGTTTCAGTCATTGTAGCACTGTAACGACCAGAGACTATAGAATTCCATGTTACACACACACATATGGGGGTACCCGCTAATGTGAATACTGTCGGTAATTCTAAGTGAATTACAAGTTTAATGCCAAAATTGCCAATCTGAAAGCATGGTTGACTTAAAGATTTTTATTTTCAGTTAAACCTTAAAATATGAAATTTACTTAGAATTTACGACTATTTTCACATACAGTGTGAATTTCAAATATAAGGACATAGTAGCCACTTAGAGGAAGAATAGTTGACTTAGAGAATGTTGCCAGTTTGGCTATTTGTGCCTTAAGTTTGAAATTTTTTACTTTTGCGAATAACCCTGGGCTAACAGAATAAATCGAACCATACCCATAACTCACAGTATTGGGAAGATTTACTCGCCATATTCCAACTTCCTATCCTGTGAGATGTCACGTACTCAGTAAACTCACTATGTACCAGTTTATGGAGTGGGTGCTAACCTATGGAATGATTTTCTGGAGTTTTCATAACTGCACCAACTAAAAATACTACCTTTAGTTACCAGATTTCCATCCAATCAGCTGTACTTGATACCACGAAAATTGCCTTTCTCGTGATCATTTTTTCATGATTTGCAAATGAATTGATTCTGAGAATGTTCTAAAACAAATCTAAACCAACCCCCTAAAAAACCAACAATTGATAGTTGTTTTTCAATAGCGCTCTTGTAGTAAAACAAGTGGACAATTTGTGTCTACTTCGTCTCTTGGGTGGAATATTTCTGCCATCCCTGTGGATGGATATTACAATGTGTGATAATAAACATCACTGACCTCGACTGAAGTTGTAATCTCCTCTCTGAGGATCCCAGTTGTCATCCTCCAAATCGGATTCCTTGCACTCCATATCGTCAATGTCTAGTTTTCTTAGCGTTAACGGTTTACGCCTCTTTCGAAAGATCCTGGGTAAAACAAAGCCATTGTAAGGATTAATAATACCTCAACGCACTGTGCCCCAACTCACAACAGTGATTGCATTTTGGGCTGGTAGATTAATCTAAGCCTTTCCTATGGCATTTTCCGATATTTGTTGCAAATGAATATTATTATTTTTTTATTTAATTATTTGGAAAGTGCTTTTATTTCCAAGCATCCCATGAACAGCTCTACAAATAAAGAAACCAACTTTTACTAACCCATTATTATTAAAGGGGAACAGGTAAAATAATTTCTGGATATTTGGCTTGGATATCCTTCTAATAGACATAGCAAAAGCTAATTAGGTAAAGGAATCACATAATTTTTGGTATGTGCATAATGTAAATGTTGTTCGTTTGATGCTGATTGAGTGGGCTAATGTGTGCTCTGTGCTTGATGCTGGTGCTGTGAACCCTGTATGGACAGTCAATACTGTCAGACTGATATGTGAATGGGCATGCTCGGTATGTGCTCTGGGGCTTACATGTAAATTCTGCCCGGCTGGTGACTGCGGTATATTTTAAATACATCGTCTGCGTGCATAACATTAGGGTATCATGTTATTTATGAGTAATGTGAGAGATTGCAACACCAATGAGTGTAGTGTATATAATAAAAACATATTTTTAAAAGAGGGGACTCAGGATAACACAGACTGGTTTGGCATTGGTGACAATAAAGACATTGGGTCATGCACATATCTCCTGTCATCGCTTCATTATGCTGTGCCGGTCATAATGAGGGTAGCTGCAAATACATAATTCAAATGCTGCCCTATGAGTAGGCTTATAGACACAGAGATTGGTGATTTTTGTGCCCTAAAAAAAACACTTATTTATACTTGTTCCAAGTCCAAAAGTGGCCAGCCTTTCCCTATAGAGAATCCAGTTTATACAGGGTGGCCCAAACATAGGTATACCGTATGGTTTATTTGCATTGTATTACATTTAAACATAACATAAGGGCTTGAAATGTCTTCCATCGACGTTGCAACATTCCTTTCTGACGGCCACACTGATATTTAAATGCCTGACATTTAACTGCCAATTTGGATGTGTACCCCTATAATCTGTTGTAATGAATTCCATTGATTCAATGTATACCTACCTTTGGGCCACCCTGTATGTGTTCCGGTGATGTAAATGTCCCTCTGTTTTAAAAATAAAATAAAAAATAAAACCGTTGTTCTTTAAATCAGCTTCTAAATTCCGTGGTCTATATGCAGCCTCCCTGCTCATGAGAACTCTAATGGGATCTGAATTAAATGGGAAATCACTTTGGGGAAACTTGTCAATGCCTTGGGAATTTTTCCTATACTTTAAACACTTCTTTAGAATTGTCCATCTGGGCTGCTCAAAGATGTATTTACTTAAGGATCTAAAACCTCGTTATAACTAGCTTTCCAAATGATTCAACATGGTTAGAAAAACATTCTAAAGGATTTATCTACACAAATTCCCTTAGACTTTGATGGTCACTTCTGTAGGTAAATCATTTTGAACGTCCTAAATCCTGTGTAGGAAACTGATATGGGAATGTGTCTGTAAATACTAGTAAATATTATTATGATATTCATGTATTGGAGAAATGTGCAGAACAGACTAATCTAAATATGAAGGTTTTGAACCTTCACTAAAATGGCTAAATAGGAAATAATATAAATATATATTTTTTTAATCTCAAAAAAGTCACTTTAGTATCACCTCCGAGACCAACCTCACATATATTTATACTTACCTGACGGAATTCTCTTTGTAGGATACATTAGGTTTTGTTGGACTGATGACTACACTTCCATCATCGTTATACAAAACTGAGCTGTCATCCACAACGTAGTAGCCATTCGATAGTAAGCGCAAACTGTGCCGGCAGGAAGAGAAAAGGCTGTACATGGTTTTATTGAAGGAAGTGCCGGGGTTAGACTCCATACCATCCAAATTATAGGTATTACTAGAAAATAAAGCAATATTCATTATAATAATAGTTATAAACTATTAATATCAAACTATAAGAGGTTTATTCACTAAACACAGATTTGTTGTGAGTTACAAAATTCAAGCCAACATAGTTCGGCTTTGACTATAGATAAATTGGAGGATTTATTTCCAAATTGGCAGAGATCGTCTACAATTCACAGTTTGCTTTACAATTCACTACAACTCTGTGTTCGGTCATCGTAAAATCCCTATGATGCCACATGTGGGGTGACATCCAAACCAAAAATTCTCCAATTCAATGTAGTTGTAGTTTTATCATACTTTGACAATTTTATCTATCTGTAAACTGTAAAATTGGTTCTAAGTTCATTGGCAACAAAGATACACCAATCGTGTTACTGCACAGTACACAAGAACAGTCACTATTATTAGATGACTACTATCTGTAGTGTTAATGCATGGTACCCAAGATCAGCCACTATTATTAGATAACTACTATCTGTAGTGTTACTGCGTGGTACCCAAGAGCAGCCACTATTATTACAGTAACTCCGTAGTCAGGGATGTATTTACCACAAGGCAAACAAGGCATTTGCCTAGGGCAGCACTTTCCCAGACAAATGCCTTGTTTGCCTTGTGTTCTGGGGCAGTCCACCTTACTGAGGACTGGGCTGTGAGTGAGTTAGTGTACCTGTCAGTGTGTGTCTGTGAGTGAGAATGGGTGTGAGTGTGTATATGTCATTTTATGTGTATCTGAGAGTGTGTGCCTGTCAGTGAGTGGGTGTGTCAGTGTGTGTCTGTCAGTGAAAGTGTGTGTTGGTTAAACAATGTGTGCCAATGACTGTGTATCTGTCAGTTAGTGTATATCGGTGCATATATCAATGAGGGCATGTGTCTGTCAGTCAAGAAAATGACCTTGACACAAATTGGAGGGGCAAATTTAGATTTTGGGATGCCCGAATTTAGTCGTGCCTAGGGCAGCACAAATCCAAAATACACCACTGTCCGTAGTGTGTCTGTGTGGTACCCAAGAACAGCCACTATTATTACAGTAACTCTGTTTGTAGTATTACTGTGTGGTACCCAAGAACAGCCACTATTATTACAGTAACTCTGTTTCTAGTGTTACTGTGTGGTACCCACGAACAGCCACTATTGTTAGGTAACTACTATCTGTAGTGTTACTGCGTGGTACCCAAGAACATAGTTACATAGTTACATAGCTGAAAAGAGACTTGTGTCCATCAAGTTCAGCCTTCCTCACATATGTTGTTGCTGTTGATCCAAAAGAAGGCAAAAAACCTGGCCTGAAGTGCTTCCAATTTTGCCACAAACTAGAAAAAAATTCCTTCTTGACCCCAAAATAGCAGTCAGATGTCTCCTTGGATCAAGCAGCTATTACCCCACTAATTATAAATTATATCCCTGTATGTTATGTTTTTGTAAGTATTTATCCAATTTCAGTTTAACCATCTGTATTGACTCTGACAAAACCACCTCTTCAGGCAGAGAGTTCCATATCCTTATTGCTTTTACTGTAAAAAAAAACCTTGTCTTTGCCTTAGATTAAATCTCCTTTCTTCCAGCCTAAATGTGTGACCTCGTGTCCAATGTATAGCCCTGTTTATGAATAGATTTCCAGATAAAAGTTTGTACTGGCCCCGTATATATTGGTATAAAGTTATCATATCCCCTCTCAACCACTATTATTATAGGAACTCTGTTTGTAGTGTTACTGTGTGGTACCCAAGAACAGCCACTATTATTACAGGAACTCTGTTTGTAGTGTTACTGTGTGGTACCCAAGAACAGCCACTATTATTACAGGAATTCTGTTTGTAGTGTTACTGTGTGGTACCCAAGAACAGGCACTAATATTAGATAACTACTATCTGTAGTGTTACTGCGTGGTACCCAAGAACAGCCACTATTATTAGATAACTACTCTCTGTAGTGTTACTGCGTGGTACCCAAGAACAGCCACTATTATTAGATAACTACTCTCTGTAGTGTTACTGCGTGGTACCCAAGAACAGCCACTATTATTAGATAACTACTCTCTGTAGTGTTACTGCGTGGTACCCAAGAACAGCCACTATTATTAGATAACTACTCTCTGTAGTGTTACTGCGTGGTACCCAAGAACAGCCACTATTATTAGATAACTACTCTCTGTAGTGTTACTGCGTGGTACCCAAGAACAGCCACTATTATTAGATAACTACTCTCTGTAGTGTTACTGCGTGGTACCCAATAACAGCCACTATTATTAGAGTATCCCTGTCTGCAGTGTGACTGAGGGGCACCCAAGAACAGTCACTATTATTAGATGACTACTATCTGTAGTGTTACTGCGCTGTAACCAAGAACAGTTGTTCTTACTAGAATATACCTGTTCTCAATATTACTACATGACATTCAAATCACTCAGGCACTAGAGCATCTGTCTTCACATGACACCATCAGACTATATATGTCTGCAGTATTACTGTATTATTATTTTTGGTATATATATAGCACCAGTTTATTCCCCAGCACTAAGAACAGTCACTGTTCACTAGAGTAATCTTATCTGCCATGCAACTACATCGTATCCAGTAATACACAGTCCCCAGTGGTAAAGTAAATTACTATAACTTACCTAGGTGAGTAATCGTTAAAGAGCTTAGATTGTAGCTGTGTAATATCCCAGAGAAACGAGGAATCTGTAAAACACACATAATAAATAAATTCACCTTGAAATCTGCTGAAACGTTCAGGTCACAACTAGCAAAGTAAAGCTGACATTACCGTACTTTCTTAAAGGACCACTCTAGGCACCCAGACCACTTCAGTTTATCGAAGTGGTCTGGGTGCAATGTCCAGCTAGGGTTAACCCATTTTTTAATAAACATAGCAGTTTCAGAGAAACTGCTATGTTTATAAATGAGTTAATCCAGCCCTCAAATCCTCTAGTGGCTGAAAAATCACAGTGAGAACACGCAAGCATCCATAGGAAAGCTCTTGCCGCGCGTGCGCATTCAGCTGAAAGGGAGGAGAGGAGCAGGATCGGAGGCGGAGAGCTCCCCGCCCGGCGCTGGAGAAAGGTAAGATTTTAACCCCTTCCTCTCCCCAGAGCCCGGAGGGAGGGAGACCCTGAGGGTGGGGGCACCCTCAGGGCACTATAGTGCCAGGAAAACGAGTATGTTTTCCTGGCACTATAGTGGTCTTTTAATAACGAATCATAACTGATTACTAATTATACGAATTCTATTCTATCAGCCATACAACCTGTACTTGCTTTGAAATCCTATCCTGGTTCCCTAAAGATTCCCTATTCCCCCACTTACTCAAAACAGTTGATACGCTTTAGTCGACCACAGAACAACTGATAGATCATTTGAAATCTTAAATGGAAAGCATTATAATAAGAAATTGTGTTTGTGCTTTTATATATAAACATATGTTGTAATATTATCATGCATATTGAGAATATTCAAAATGTGTGAATTTTATCTATTTTACTTTTGATAAATTGTATGTTCTTTGTATTTCATGACTTAATCATTAAAGACCTAGGGTCTTGCCTATATACCCTACGTGCTCTGCAAACTGTCTAAGGCAGAGGTGCCCAACATGGAAGCTTTAGTTTTAAAACATCTGGGGATCTACCTTTTGGACACCCCTGTTCTACGTTATGTTTAGAAGACCTCACCACTGATCCAATGTAGAAGAATTTTACAGATCACCATACGCAGAAGAAGGGCAGTAGCTGCTCCAGCCCAATTTATTGGCATATTTAGCATACCATACTAAACATACCCCACACACAAGACTTAGAACACCCAAAATCCAAATAGTTCTTAAATATTCCTCTGCTAGCCTCATACATCAGGTACACATGTCAGTAGAGAACGAGAATGTACTTTACCCACTAACAGCAAGGAACTGGATGTTTGGTGGAAAATAGAGCCTCTGTCATCCCCTAAGTAGTCAGATGTAAGCTGATAAATAGCCAATGTCCCCAAATGTCTCAAATGTGGAGGCATCATGTTTAATATGTGGCTAGCACATGATGTCACAGTCAGGATAAAAACACCTAGTGGCACATTAAATATTGCAAAATAATCTGAGACAGGCTTTGGGGTTTATTCACTAAACACCCACATTTAGTAAAGGGCAAAAAGTGCTCATTTGCAAAAAATATTTAAAATGACCTTTAAGCACTACTTGAATATAGTAGCATACATTTAGCATTTTGGTTCAGTTCACAATCCCTTGTCATTTTGGTAATATTTTACACAACGTATTCAAAGCACGGAAAATGCTATCTACACTATTGTAAATATAGTTCAAGCAAAAAACTATATATAAAACTATAAATTGGTATTTATATAGCACCATTTTATTCCCCAGCACTAAGAACAGTCACTGTTCACTAGTGTAATCTTATCTGCCGTGCTACTACATAGTATCCAGTAATACACAGTCACAGTTACTAGAGTATGCCTGAATGAGGTATGACACCTAAAAATAGTAACTGTTACTCAGTTATCCCGATCTACTGTGCTACTGCATGGTATCTACAAATACACAATCACTTGTTAGAGTATCCCTGTCCCCAGTGGTGAAGTAAATTACTATAACTTACCTATGTGAGTAATCGTTAAAGAGCTTAGATTGTAGCTGTGTAATATCCCAGAGAACGAGGAATCTGTAAAACACACATAATAAATAAATTCACCTTGAAATCTACTGAAACGTTCAGGTCACAACTAGCAGAGTAAAGCTGACATTACAATACTTTCTTAATAACAAATCATAACTGATTACTAATTATACGAATTCTATTCTATCAGCCATACAACCTGTACTTGCTTTGAAATCCTATCCAGGTTCCCTAAAGATTCCCTATTCCCCCACTTACTCAAAACAGTTGATACGCTTTAGTCGACCACAGAACAACTGATAGATCATTTGTAATCTTAAATGGAAAGCATTATAATAAGAAATTGTGTTTGTGCTTTTATATTTAAACATACATTGTAATATTATCATGCATATTGAGAATATTCAAAATGTGTGAATTTGATCTATTTTACTTTTGATAAATTGTTTGTTCTTTGTATTTCATGACTTGATCATTAAAGACCTAGGGTCTTGCCTATATACCCTACGTGCTCTGCAAACTGTCTAAGGCAGAGGTGCCCAACATGGAAGCTGTAGTTTTAAAACATCTGGGGATCTACCTTTTGGACACCCCTGGTCTAAGTTATGTTTAGAAGACCTCACCACTGATCCAATGTAGAAGAATGTTACAGATCACCATACGCAGAAGAAGGGCAGTAGCTGCTCCAGCCCAATTTATTGGCATATTTAGCATACCATACTAAACATACCCCACACACAAGACTTATGGAAATAGAACACCCAAAATCCAAATAGTTCTTAAATATACCTCTGCTAGCCTCATACATCAGGTACACATGTCAATAGAGAACGAGAATGTACCTTACCCACTAACAGCAAGGAACTGGATGTTTGGTGGAAAATAGAGCCTCTGTCATCCCCTAAGTAGTCAGATGTAAGCTGATAAATAGCCAATGTCACCAAATGTCTCAAATGTGGTTGCATCATATTTAATATGTGGCTAGCACATGATGTCACAGTCAGGGTAAAGACACCTAGGGGCACATTAAATATTGCAAAAATAATCTGAGACAGGTTTTGGGGTTTATTCACTAAACACCCACATTTAGTAAAGGGCAAAAAGTGCTCATTTGCAAAAAATACTTCAAATGCCCTTTAAGCACTGCTTGAATATAGTAGCATACATTTAGCATTTTGGTTCAGTTCACAATCCCTTGTAATTTTGTTAATATTTTACACAACGTATTCAAAGCACGGAAAATGCTATCTACACTATTGTAAATATAGTTCAAGCAAAAAACTATATATAAAAATTAATATTTTTCAATTTATGGTGCTGCTTATTTTGTGACATCATCATCGTGCGACTAGACATAGAACTGCCTCTCAGAAATAAAGACTGACTATATTCATGGTGTTAAACTTTTAGGAATGAGAACAGAATTACCAAAATTAAAAACTTTTATTTTTTTTGAGATCTATATAGTTGCTAACAGTTCTACTGGCAAAAGATATTGCATGTTTGTGCTACTTTGCAGAACGTAACCAAACATTGATAAAAAACATATTAGAGTTTCTACTTAGGTTTATTTTAGATCAGTGAATTATATTGAGAATTTAAAAAATGAAAGACAGTTATATATGTAGAATGTTTGGAGCACTCTATTAATTGTTCCAGGGAGTGTGTATTTTACATAAATCATAGTGCTCCCTCAGCTAGATGCCTTCATGATATCTTGCCACCAGCCTGCATTGTTCGCTGCCGCCTGCATTCACCCTTACCGTGCCGCCTACACTGAATGGGATGACAAATACCCAGGATTGGACACAATTAATAGTTGCCATGATGACCTGGCGACTGGGATTTTTCTAGTCCGCAAAGTACCAGAACTCTGAGTCTTGAGAAAAATCTAGCTTCTTTATTGTAGCGTAAATCCAAGTAAAATAGTCAAAATTTCCGTCCCAGACCAGGACTCTCCTCAGGACATACAACGATTCGGAAAATACAGCTTAATGACTTCTCCAGTCTCAAAATGAATAGAATCTCTCTTGAACAGAATCTCTCACAACAGCAAAAATATGCAAAACAGGTGTTGCCTCAAGCACACCTGATGCAACTAATCAAGGGCTTCATTAGTTGCACCAGGTGTGCTTGAGCTGAAACAATTGAAATACCTGAACTGGCTAGGTTTTTGTTGAGTGTCACGTTTGACTGAATGTTAGAAATATGTTAGAAATATGTTAAGTCAACAGAATGGTCCACAAAAAGCGAAGAGATCATCACCCTTCACAAACAAGAAACAGGATACAAAAAGATAGCGAAGGCACTGAATGTTCCCAGAGACAGTGTTGGAAGCATAATTAGCAAGTTAAAAGTTCAAAGAACAGTGTTTACACTACCTGAACAGGGCAGAAAACGGAAGCTATCAGTGTTTGCCACCAGATTTCTAAGAAGGCAGGTCGTGAAAGATTGTTGAATGACTGCAAAAAAACTGCAGCGAGACTTGGTGGCAATAGGCATAGTGAGCACAGTAATGCGCATACTAAACGCAGAAGGTTTCCATGCCAGAACTCCAAGACGAACACCACTACTGACCCAAAAATCTGCCTACAATTAAGAATGGTGTAAGAATGGTGGTGGCTCGGTGATGCTCTGGGGCTGCTTTGCATCCTCTGGTATTGGAAACCTGCAGTGTGTGGAAGGCAAGATGGATTAATTGAAGTATCAGGAAATCCTAGGAGAAAATGTCATGCTGTCTGTGAGGAAGATGAAGCTCGGGTGTTATTAGACCTTCCAGCAAGATAATGATCCCTTGCATACCTCAAATTCCACCAAGGCTTGGCTGCAGAAGAATTCCTGGAAAATTCTACAGTGCCCATCACAGTCACCTGACTTGAACCCCACAAAAAAATCTCTGGTGGGATTTGAAGAAGGTGGTTGCAGCACGCAAATCCAAGAACATTACTGAACCGGAGGCTATTGCTCATAAGCTGGTGTCTGGCTATGCATCTCGTTTGCAGCAGGTCATAACAGCAAAATGGTGCTCTACTAAGTACTAAATATGCTCGCCATGAACGGGTTGAATAATTTTGAGTCTAGAGAAGTCATTATACGTTGCACTTTCAGTTGAATTTGGGGAAACCACTTAAAGCATTTGTTGTGTTGAGCTATTTTAATTTATTTTGTTTGATTGGTTGATTTGTTCATTGCAAACAGCTAAAAGCTGAAATTTTGACAATAAACCTAATTTTCAATGGGGGTTGAATAATTTTGATTATGTGTGTGTGTGTGTAATGTATGTATACAGATATATATATCTACATAAAACATGTGCATGGGGGGTTTAGTCTTGTACTTGTGAGACATCACTGAACACAAATATTGAAGTTTTTGTGTGAAAAATGCATAGTCTATACTACTAAAGGGACGCTCGTGCACTGTGTAGGTTAGGTTACATTTATTATATTGAATTTGACCTGTTTCATATATACTGCAATAATACAAATGTGATCTTGTGGAAAATCATTAAAAAGAAATACATACATTTGGATGATTTAGGAGTAGACATCATGGGAGGTGACTCATCCATCTTGAAAGTTGTCTTTTGCTGTAATTGGATAAAAATGTTTAAATTAAATGATTTATTCTCTTAACATGAATATCTCTTACTTTAATAACGAACGACCCCTGGTTGTATGTTTAATATCAATTAAAGGAACTCTGTAAATACTATGCAAAGAAAGCATTTAGTTAACGTCTGTTTGATTCAGTTTCCTTTTGATCGAGCGAATATTAACCTTTTATTATTACATGCTAAAGTGGCTTTGACAACCCGACCTCTCCCCGTATCAAAATTAGTTTTTCATAAAGATAAAATCTTTACGAAAAACTCACATTGACCGTATTGTAATTTCATTGAAATCCCAAAGCAGTCAAAAAATATTCTGAGACAAAGTATGGACTACTTTTCCTATGCTTGACAAAAGTTGACAAAAGCAGAGCTACCACTGTCTAAGGTGGATCCCGCAGTTTTTTGAATCCTCTGTAGACCTCAGTGTTGTACAAAACTAACATGGGCTCCCAACAGATGTAGTGCCACTAGCCAAAACCTACCAGCAGGAAGACAGTGATGGTGACTGTGAAGGACGAGTTTGAGTAAGTAAAACCCGCCTTCCCCTGCACCTAGCAGTCACCAAACCCTTGGCGGATCATTGCTAATTATGTAAAGATCCCAGTTGGTGACAAAGTTCCTTTAAAGATAACGTAAAGGTCAGTGATGTCATCTGGGATACCACCCTTTTTTTCCCTTTATTTACAATACACTGTACTTGGATATGTTTTCTTGAAGTGGAAAGGATGCAATAAGTAACCAGGTTATTCAATTCAAGCGAGAATTGTCATTTAGGCTAAAAGAGCCAAAATGAAAAAAAAAAAAATCCAAGTCAGTGGTGATTGCAGTTTCAGGTAAGGTAAGTAAAACCTAACGTCCTGTGCACCAAGTGGCAAGACAACATCTGGGGTCTTCGCAAAATATGATAAATTTGCAATTAAATTAGAATTTCTCACAATTCTCACTGTAGCGAATAACCATGTTTTTATCTCAGCTCTTGAATACGCTAGACTTGCTACATTAATAGTACCTAACAGTGTGAATTGTCAAAAATTTCAGAGATTTTGAACTTCCATTTCAGTCCTACCAACAGTCCTGCTTTGGACGTGGCAGTTCTAATTTCTGGGTCCTGTGCCGCTATAGTTCGCTAGTGTCCTGCATGTGGGGAAACATGAGATCTGTCCTTGGGCAGCGAAGCACGAGTGCATCAGGCCCTCGCTTCAGCTGCGCTCTGTAATTGGTGTTGAAGGCTGGGGGGGGGGGGGAGAGGCGGCCAAACCGCTTATCAGTGGCTTTTCTGGACAGACCCTACCATTATGGGCATCACTGAATACTCTCACCCCCTCAGGACCCCGTCTAGATTCCAGAAGTGTTGGGCATTAAGGCCAAAATAAACTACAAATACTGCTGACCGACAGATTTTTTCCAAACTGGTTATTTGGCTTGAATCTTGAAATTCACATTAAATTCCTGATAATTCACATGTCGGTAAATAATCCTGCCTGATTGCCTTTTTTAATTTGGGCATTAAAACAAGTGTTATTTGTAAACTCTAATATTCATTTAATGTATTCATTTTCCCTTTTTTTCTATGACAGGTCTCGTTCAGGACGCCTGCTGTTTCTGTTCTCTTTTCTCTTGTTTCTTCTGTGATAATTCATTCGGCCACGGTAGCTATTTGCAGTCTGATTGTTGAACACTTCAGCAGAGTGAAATTCCTGGCATAGCTACGCTGTGTCCACACCACGTAGAAATAACAAAGCAACTTGGTGCAGTTTTACTGGGAAAAGTAAAATTATTGTTCACTTTTTTACTAAACCGATCATTGTAAAAACTGTCAGACATTGGCCAGGGAATGGCAAATTTAAGCTACAATAGAAGAAGATATTTGCCTAGCTCATCTATTTTGGTCTAAAATGTTTCATTCCCTGATAAACTCTGCACAATTCCCAGTTGATCAGTGTATAATATAAACATTGTCTTAAGTCTATTAAAATAATATTTTCCCATGTTACTGGTTATTGCTTATATAAAGGAACACTCCGCTGCCTAAACACAAAATATATACAAATATAGTATACATACCCCAAATGAAAACTTGTATGCATTTAATTATGCATTTTTTCATTGGAGTTAAAGGGACTCTCCAAAACGGTTTGCTTTCCTGGCACTGCGGGTCCCTTCTCCCTCCCACCCCCATCCCAGGTTGCTAAAGGGGTTAAAACCCCTTCAGTGACTTACCTGTATCCAGCACGATGTCCCTCGGTGCTGGTTCAGGGTCCGCCCATGCTCCTCCCCCCCCACTGACGTCGTCGGGCGGGGGAGACCTATTGCGCATGCGTGGCCAGCGGCAGGGGAGACCTAATGCGCATGCACATTAGACCCCCCATAGGAAAGCATTGAAAAATACTTTCAATGCTTTCCTATGGGGATTTCAGCGATGCTGGAGGTCCTCACATAGCGTGAGGACGTCCAGCGACGCTATAGCACACGGAATGTGTGCTATAAACCCGGAAGTGCCCTCTAGTGGCTGTATAGTAGACAGCCACTAGAGAAGGAGTTAACCCTGCAAGGTAAATATTGCAGTTTATGAAAACTGCAATATTTACAGTTGCAGGCTTAAGGGTAGTGGGAGTTGGCACCCAGACCACTCCAATGGGCAGAAGTGGCCTGGGTGCCTGGAGTGTCCCTTTAAAGCTAAAAACAGCTTGCAAAAGCAATAGTTTTATTGTCTGCTGCCTTTGCAAGCCCTCCCCTTCTAACCCCGCCCAGACTTTTTTTGTGCGTGTCCAATCACAGACCTTCCAATGCAGCTCAATGAGAAGTCTTTGCCAAGGCACTTGCTCTGGGAAATTACTGACTCTTAAGATCAGTGCAACTAAGCTAGCCAAACCGGGATGTAGCCGGACCTGTTCTTTGTTTGAAATGCTAGGGTGGTGTAACCAGTAGAATTTATTTTAAAAAATAAAATCAATCTGCACTTTTGGAAATACTCTTCACACATGAAACTTTTCAGCAAGCTAAAGTGCTTTAGGTGTCTGGAGTGTCCCTTTAAATAAATACCCTAATAAAATCCCAACTTTTCTAGATGGCCAAATGTATGCTTGTCAATGAATGAAAATTCCAATGTCTCTTTGTTTCTTGTTTGTTAAATTATAATATAATTAATTATATTTAGGTACAATTAAAGTGTAATTACCAAAACAACTACAGCTTAAAATAGTTGTTCTGCTGTGTATAGTCCCTGCAGCCTTTTTGCTGTAAACACTACCTTTTCTAAAAAAAAAAAAAGCAGTGTTTACATTGCTCCCTAGAGACACCTCCAGTGGCCACTCCTCAGACAGCAGCTGGAGGTGCTTCTTGGGGCAGTGCTGCACAGTGTGCAGCACTGATGTTCAGTGTCTCCACGCTCTGCATGGAGTCGCTGAACTTTCCCCATAGAGGTGCATTGATTCATTGCATGCCTATAATGAGATACAGATTGGCCAAGCTGGTGTTTGGCTCTGCCCCCACCCGCCTCTTTGACTATCTCAGCCAGTTCAATGCTTTTCCTATTTGGTGTCAGCCAAGGAGGTGGATCGAGGGCGGGGCCAGTGCCAGAGGACCCGCGCGGTGCTGGAAATAAGGTGAGTAAACTAGTTATTAAGGAGGGCAAGCCACCTAAATGGTGGTTTTAACACTAAAGGGTTAGGAATCCATTTTTGTGCTCCTGACCCTATAGTGTTACTTTAAGCACTGACTCTTATCTATAAGCATGATGTATATGGTTTTCAGTTAATACCTGTGAAACTTGGCAAGTTTGATCTATGTAAACGCCTAGGGTATCTAGCTTAGAAGCTTGCAGGTAAGGTGTATATGTTCAGAGAGAACCTATTTTAGTGTCCTGATGGAATTGCTATAGCAATGAATAGCAAAATGTGCAATTTTTTTGAATTAATTTTTTAACATATTTGGCTGTCTTTATCAGTGGAGGTGGACATGAGTAGCACACAAATATGGAAACCTGTGGTTTTACATCTAGCATGTGTTTTCTTTTCTTTTTTTAAATACCACATTCGTGGAAATGAGCACTTTGTAGGGATTAAGGGCTTAACATTACTGAAGGAAGCATCTTCCAAAAGAGTTGGATTAAAATAAATAGCACCTCTAGTGATAAATTATTATATACCTGCTAATTCTTTAATTTGTGACCGTAGATTTGGTCCAATTGGTTTTACTACTTAGACCTCTGATTTCCAGAATGATGTACAACGTCCACAGTGAAGTAATTATTAAAGGGGCACTCCAGACCCATAAACAACTTTAGCTTGCTGAAAAGCTTTATGTGTGAAGAGCGCATCCTTTTTGAATTTTTTTTTGCAAAAGTGCAGATTTCAATGGAAATTGACACTTTTATAAATTAAACTGGTTACACCCTCTTACCCTCTTACAGACAACAAGTAATGTTACTTCCTGGTTTTGTTAGCTCAATGCAGATGATGTCAAGAGACAGCAATTGCTCAGAGCACCTGTCTTACAAAGATTTCTCACTGAGCTGTATTGGGAAGTCTGTGATTGGACAGCCACAGAAAGTCTGTGCGGGGTTAAAAGGGGAGAGCTTGCAAAGGCAGCAGTCAAGAGAACTGCAGGTTTTGCAAGCTGATTTTAGTTATATCCCCAATGAAAAAATACATAATTAAATGCATTAATGTTTTCATTTGGGGTATATCTACTAAACAGTGATTTAAAATACATATTTTGGCAGTGGAGAGCCCTTGCACCTCTCCCCTCCCCATCATTTGCAGTGAAGCCATTTTAGAACAGTTTAAATTCTTACCTTTAACCCATGATGCACCTATCCCTGCCTCCACTACTTCAAAAGGAAGCTCTACTAGCATTCTAAGACTAGTCTTCCACATAGAATGTGTTGGGAGTACAAAGGATATCATCCACTTGCTGCTCTGCGGAGAACTCACTGTGCAAGCTGCAAATCCTGGGGACTTTAATTTGTCTTTTTACTTATTATATTATTTATATAATGCAATATAAATGGAGGAAGGGTGTAGCACCAGCCAGCAATAGCACTTTGATGAATGTACATTACATTATTCTACAGATCATAACTAGGGACGTGAATGAGTCAAATCAAGGCTGCAGTAAATGGCAATAATAATAATATTGATAATAATAATACATGACTATTGAAAAGTGTATAGCAGGTGGATATACCCTAGTGCAGGACATGATATCTGCCCCATGTTTAGGGATCCATGGGCACTAAAGCATGAGTTTGTGTTAGTGTTTTTATATATGATATATTTTATTTGTTTTTATTAATAAACATACATGACTATTTCTTTTCACACCTAGTTATTCATTACAGCATAAATGTGTATTTTTAAAATTATGCATTGTATTTAAATAAAATTACATGGTAATTTTCTCTGGGTGCGCCCCCTCATACAGTGCATTGCACAGAGCTATGATGATAAATCTCCAAATATGTCACCATTTTGTAAATCTCACACAAAGAATTAGAGACAGGTGTGATTTGCTGTGAGTATCACATTGAACTATCTGTGGCCCCCTGCTCCAGGTAGCTTCCTTTACCCTATACACAGATCCTTCTGGTACCCATCTTACTGAAGATATGTATTCACTAAACTCTGAATTGTAATTAATTTAATCTTAATTGGAAAATCCTTTTAAAATAGCCAAGCGATGATTACACCCAGTGCTCGAATCTTTCCAAATCGGTTATATTAATTAAAATGTTTCGATTTGGTTTTCAATTCACTACAGTTTAGTGTTTAGTGATTAACCCTTAAACAGTAACATTTTAATTAATTTGATATGCAGTTGGCTGACACACACATACTAAGAGATAGGTAAACCGATACTGATCTGCAAAGCCCAATCACATTCCCAAAAAAACAGAAAGGTCTGTGGGTGGCGAATGAAGAATTACTTACACAGGCAAATGCTTCCTTTTACCTGACCTTGGAGATGGGGGATTCAGACAGGTTATGGTCCCTGGAGTACCGTGCCGCTGTGACAGCTCTATAAAGGGATGTTGATTGTGTCCCAGAGAACAAGGACTGGGTTACAGTTGTCTAAACATCGGGCTCATTGTTAAGTGTCCACTCTTTGACCAGATGTCCCAACAGTTTGTGACATTAACAGTCCAGAGCGATAAGTCCAGATCTGAATATCTTCTATAACAATCCTTGTTCACATCCCAAAAGGGCTGCTCGGATGTCCACAGCAAATCCTATCCTACGGACAAGTTGTGTCTTTTTGGATAGAGCTGTGGAATGCGCAATGTCTAAGTAGTCTGGGGAAAAGGCAGCTCACTTTGCAGCCTCTTGTTTCCTTTCAAAACTTGCCTTTGCAGTCAGTGGCTGACAAGCAGAATGAGGTCACATTTCCTGTTACAGTATGTATGCGATCAGAGGCATTCACATGATAGAAACAGTGTGTCTCGAACATCAGCTCTATACCAGCCAATGCCCCACTTGAGAATCATTGCAACAGGCTATGCGTAAAGAATCTGACCCTTAGAGACAAATGGATTTATTCGCTAAACTCAGAATTGTAGTGAGTTGAAATCCAAATAGCAAAACTTAGTTGAAAATAGCAAAACTGTGGCGTTAGCAGAGTTGGAAGGCAACGCTTAGAACTTTTGCAGCTTGGTTTTCAATTTATATGTTTAGCGAATAAACTCCTAAAGGTAACCAATATTCAATATAATTTTATCATATATATCAGCTCTTCATATAAATACTAGGGAAGCATCTTTGCGTTTCAAGGAGAAAAGTGTTTTGTAGAAACTTTGCTATAATGATTACAGCTAATGTAATTATTAGTAGTATTATTAGTGACTTTATTGTCTACTGTTTTTTGTGTGTTTTAAGTTTTGTTGCAATTTCTTAAAACATTTCTCACACTATCTCCCATCAATCCGCTCCTGTATAAACTGCTAATGGTTACCAATGTTTATGTTTGGTGTGTGTTAAAGGGGCGCTCCAGAACACTATAACAAGTTAGCTTGCTGAAAAGCTTTGTGTGAAGAGTGTCCAGTTTATTTCATTCTATAAAAAGTGTAGATTTCAATACAAATGTACACTTTTATAAATTACACTGGTTACACCCCTTTGGCTTTCAAGCAGACAACAGGTTCTGTTACTTCCTGATTTTGTTAGCTCAGTGGAGCTAAACGCCATTGTCCAGAGCACCTGTCTTGCAAAGATTTCTCTTTGAGCTGCATTGGGAAGTCTGTGATTGGACAGCCACAGTAAGTCTGGGCGGGGTTAGAAGGGGAGGGTTGCAAAGGCAGCAGGTAAGAGATATGCAAGTATTGAAAGCTATTTTTATATATAACTCAAATGACAAAATGCAAAATTAAATGCATGCAAGTTTTCATTTCAAATATATCTACTAAACAGTGATTTGTATTTATTTTGTATTTGGGCAGTGAAATGTGAAACCTTGTAGCAAGAATTGCACATTCCACGATCTATGTAAAAAATAGAATAAACCTCAAAGTAATCTTGCTGGTAAAATATTTTATAAATAAATAAATAAACTGTCTCCTCGGGCTGCTAGCCTGCAAATATACCCTGCCATAATCTGTGATTGGTGGAGATAAATGCCTCTCCCATACCTTGCCCTCGAAGGGACTGTTTTCTCTGTAAATCAGTTGTCAGACGTGAGATGTCAAGATCAAAATCAGAGAGTTCCCAGGTAGGACAGTACTAATGTTTAACCCAAACAAAAGTTCCTGGTCAGTGCAATTTTTTGTTCCTAATTAGACTTGTGCATGACAAATAGAAGAAAAATGTTCGGGAGCCCTGAATTTCAGCCAGTTTTCAGTGGTGCTCAGCAAAATATTGGTACTGAAAAACGTATTCAGGAATCGAATCAGACAAAAGGGCGCAAAAATGGGCCAATAAGCGCATAGCAAAATATACACATAATATAATTATGTGTATATTTTGTAGTAAATTGATTTTGCCACTATTTGGTTTACAGATCAAGTGAGAAAAAGTAACCAATAGAGGGAGAAAGAGTAAAAATAAATAAATCTATATATACATACATTTATTTATTTATTTTCACTGACCTTCTTTCCCTCTGTTGATCACTTGTCACTTCATCTGTGAATAAAATTCCCAGATTTTACTAGTAACATGACGTAAAGTCATGATTTTATTAAAGACACGGAGGCGAGTATTAGCATAACTTTCTTTATTTCCTCAGCAGCAAAGAAAGAGAAATATAAATATTATCAAAACTGAAGAAAAAACTGTATAGGCACAACAGGTAGCCAATCACAGAATATAGGAAGTAGCTATATGTCTTGTGTCTCCCACAATCCCCCTCTTTCTTGCGAAACCGAAGACCAGGTAAGATGAACGATGTCCCACTTGATCAAAACAGGATAACAGGAACAAGGCGATAACTTCAAGCTAAAAAAGACAGAGAAATATGGTAATTTCTTAACTCACAACTGCAGACTTATCAAACATAACCGTGGGGAGTCACAGGCAAAAACTGAATTCTGAAATATAAAATATATAAGAATTAGTAATCCGCACAAAACGTACAAAACCATACAAAAAATGATTTAAAAATGATATAAAATACAGACCTAATTGAAACATACCTGTAGAGCCACAAAGCATCTCCTATCCCAAATCCACACCGGGAGGGTGGGAGGGAATAATACTCGCCTCCGTGTCTTTAATAAAATCATGACTTTACGTCATGTTACTAGTAAAATCTGGGAATTTTATTAAAGACACGGAGGCTCATATTATGCAAGTTCAAAGTTGCGCCACCACACGAGATGCGATGTGCTCAATTGGTCTGAAGTAGAAGTTTCGGAAGGTCGATTCTCGAGACCAATCTGCCGCTCGCATAATGTCCTCTAGACGACATCCGACTGAAGAAGCTTTTGAGGCTATCGCGCCCCGCACCGAATGAGGCGTAAATACGGAGGTGTCTATACCCGCAGAGGATAACAGCCAACACACCCAACGTGCCAGAGTAGGAGTCGAAACCGGCCGGTGAGGTGATTTGAAGGATATGAACAGATCATGTAGGTCTGCTAGGCGAAGGGGACGTGTAACATCCAGGTCAGCCTTGATGCAATCCACCGGGCAGAGCGCTGGACAACCTGAAAACCTAGGGTATGTAAACGACTTGGATGCAGACTTGGTCCTCATGGAAATGTCGAAAGTGACGCCTTCTGGGGTGAATGCAACGGCGTCCCAATCCAGGGCCCGAACGTCAGAGACCCTTCTGCAAGAAATCAAACAGAGTAACATAACCAACTTGGAAGACAATTGTTTGAGAGTCAGCTCCAGGTTAGGGTACCACGATGATAGGAACTGTAGCATCACGTTGACGTCCCAAAAGGCAGAAAAACGAGGTCGAGGAGGACGAGCAAGGCGAATACCTTTTGAGAAGGCGACATACAAAAGGATGTTTGCCGACCGGAGAACCGTCCAAACCTTCGTGACCGGCCGAGATAGCTGAGCGGAAAAGGTTGATCGTGCGGTACGCCTTGCCCGAATCAAACAGGAACGTGAGGAACTCCAGAATCAAAGGTAGAGGGGCAGATACGGGATCCATTTCCCGTTCTATGCACCAACCAGACCACAATCTCCATGAGTGTCGGTAAGCTGCCCGCGTACCCGGGGCCCAGGCGTTATCGAGGAGTCGTTGAGTTGACTGCGGAACGTCTGGGACAACCCAAGGTCCCCTGAAAGGAGCCATGCTATAAGGGGTAACTGATGCCGCAACACCAGTTCGTGAGAGTTCCCATCCGGATCCAGAAGGAGGTCTTGGAATACCGGAACCAATCGAGGGTAGTCTATAGACAATTCCATCAGGTGAGGGAACCATGGTCGAGACCTCCATAGAGGGGTGATTAGTGCCATCCGACAATCGTGGCGGACCAGTTTCGAAATCGTGCGTGCGATCATGTTGAATGGGGGAAAAGCGTACACCAGACCCGGTGACCATTCTTGAAGAAAGGCATCCATCACCACTGCAGCCGGGTCCGGCCTCCAACTGTAGAACCTCGGTAGCTGAGTGTTCAGGCGTGATGCGAACAGGTCCAACTGGAACCGGCCCCACAACCTGTTCAGGCTCTGGAACACTGAAGCGTGTAGACGCCAGTCCCCGGAGTCTCTTAAGTGTCTGGAATTCCAATCCGCCCCCGAATTGTCCAGACCTGGGATGTGTTCCGCCGTCACCGAGACGTTGTTGAAGAGGCAGAACTGCCAGAAATCTTTCGCCAGAACCGCCAACATTTTGGACTTCGTACCCCCTAGGTGATTTATGTAGCGAACTGCCGATACGTTGTCCATTTTGAGGAGAACGCAGCAATTCGCCCTCCCTGGGGCAAGACTGCGGATCGCGAAGGCACCTGCCAGGAGTTCCAAGCAGTTGATGTGTAACGACTTCTCTGTGTCGGACCACCTGCCCCCTGTGGAAACGTTGCCACAACGAGCGCCCCAGCCGTGTAAGCTGGCATTGGACTCTATCACCACATCCGGGGCGGAGCCGAAGATGGCTCTTCCGTTCCATGCCTCCATGTGCGCCAACCACCACACTAGCTCGTCCCTGGACTCCGCGTCTAGCATTATCCGAGATTCGTAGGAATGACCTGAGCGAAGTTGCGATCCTTTGAGCCGTTGGAGTGCCCGGTAGTGCAGCGGGCCGGGAAGATCGCTTGAATAGAGGCCGCGAGAAGGCCGATAATCCTCGCCAACTGCCTGACCGACAAGTCCGGGACACGGAGGGCCCTCCGAATTTCTTTCTGGATGGCTTTCACTTTGGTATCCAGAAGGAACAGAAACTGCCGGATGGAATCCACCTGAAAACCCAGAAACTCTATGGACTGGGCAGGGATCAGGACCGATTTGCTCAAATTGATCAGAAATCCCAATTTCTGCAAAAGGCCGGTCGTCCATTCGAGGTGTGTGAGGAGATCCTCTCGTGACTGGGATAAAATCAGGATATCGTCCAGGTAGATAATGAGGCGAACCCCCCGGGTTCGGAGGAATGCTACTACGGGCTTCATGAGCTTGGTGAAGCACCAAGGGGCCGAGGAGAGACCGAGAGGCAGGCAGGTGAAGCGCCAACGACGCCCGTGCCAGGTGAAGTGGAGATAATCCCTGAACTCCAAAGCGATGGGGACCGTAAAGTAGGCGTCCTTCAGGTCCAGCTTGGCCAACCAGTCTGACTGGCGTAGAAGGTCTCTGAGGCAGTGTATACCTTCCATCTGGAAGTGTTGGTAGCGTAGAAATGCATTGAGTGGGCGAAGATTTATTACAGGGCAAACCCCGCCCCCTTTCTTGGGCAC